CATGTTGGAGAGTTAATTCTGTTTATATTTTGGTTTGTTCAGCAGTCTGACCTGACTAAATACATTTGTTCCCATTTTGCTTTAGGTTTAATAAACTATAATCGCCTCTTCTGAAGACATAGTCCGTGTAAAAAGGAACTTAACCAATCTCTTTGAAAAACCTGAAGTAGTATTTTGAAGTTAATTTTGTTTGATTAGTAATACACTTAAGCTGTCTTTCTGATTTCTACCCCAAAGTGAAAATGGGATAGCTCAGTCATGTTGAGGATTGCTTTTGTTATGCTTGCAAAATCTTTGAAACATTTCTTAAGGGTTTGCTTTTTCCCTCCATATTTTCATTTATTTTTCTGGCAAGTTAGCATATACATAGTGCCTACAGAAATTAAATGCTAAATTTAAACAGAAGTATTTTACCCAAATTCTTTACACCAAAGCAAGTAGCTTGGATACATTAAAAAACAAAACAACACAAAAAACCAACTATGACATAGATACAGAAAAAATTGGACAAGAAGACAATGTTCATGGTATGATGGATGTAAAAGAATTCTGAAATAGTTCTGTTCCTTTAAGTAAATAAGAGACTCTTGCAAAATTTAGTAGGAAAAATTACTACTCAGTACACCCCTACGTGTTCTTGACTGTAGGTTATGCTGTATCTTTTTCTTACCACGCTAGCTAATCTAAATATTTAATCATGTGCTGTACAGCCCATAGTATATCAGCCAATTGCTCTGCCATGGGAGTAGTTAATCATTACCTGTATAAGAGACAGGGTAACAGGAAAGAAATCATTAGAGCTGTCCTTAAATTAAACAGAATAATTCAAATGTTATTTTGCTAAATTTGTCAACTTATATTTGGGGTTTTTTTCTTTAAATTAAAAAAAAAAAATAAATGTAGTCCTATATATACTGGAAAGATTTAAAGAAATTGTGTACTTTTCTATCCAAGTACTTGGATAGAAAAAATAAATCGCCAATTTTAACTTTGTAAAAGCAGTTTGGATAAAACATGGTCATGAAAATGTTCCTACTAGAATCACCCGCTGTTCTGCAATCTTAACACATGCAAAATCCTTAGCAGGTAGAGATTATCTTACAAATTGAAGAGATAGCAAGGAATTTATAGAAGCCTTGCTGATGGAAGTCATTCAGCTCCTGATTTGGTTAGTTTTTCCTCTTATTTTTAAAAATACTTTGTCTGAAAGACTCTACCTTAATAAGATTAATGATGAATGGTGATGTATGTAATAGAAAATCACAAAAATCTATTGTAATGAAAATTCTCCAAGTGGCTTGCTCTTAAGGAATTATTTTCATATTTTTACA